TTTTTTGGCATGGAAATATGTATTTTTTTTTATTGTAGGCTGTAATTTTTAGGAAAAACTCACTGAAATCCGGCCTGTCTGTCCGAACAAGAGTCTAGTAAACATCCCCGGGTATGATAAAATTTGAAACACAAAATCATAAATTATAATTTAATAAATAATCATAAAAATAATATAAAAAATAATAAAAATTTAATTCAATAATATAATCAAACCAAAAAACACTGAAATGTGAAATAGAGCGCCAAGTTCGCACATTGCTGAGCTCAGTCGCAAAATCGTTTTCAGTTTCTGATGACGAATTTCCCCCACGAATCATTATCACTCAATTCTGTAAGTGGTTCTGATTTACTATCGCTGTTCTCTAGCTGATCTAAACCTCTTTTGACATAAAGGGACACTTTTTGGACGCCATGGACATTTCTCAGTTTCCAGGCAGAAAGAACAGACAAAATGCAGGCAGGGTGCAGGACAAAGCACTAGGGACAAAATGTATGTGAAATAGGTTGAAACAGCAATGTTTTACTGTGTAAAATGAAAAAAAAAAAAAAATGACATTTTTTAAAATTTTTAAATTTCCCGTACGTCACAGGGACAGGACACAGAAGCCGGATGCCGGCATCGGCCGGAGGAGATGGCCGGGGACGCTGCAGGGGACAACATCGTGGGAGCGCAGGGTAAGGTAAGTGAAGAACACATGCCGGAGCAGCGCCGCATGGTAAGCCCGAGTGTAGCTCGGGGTTACCGCTTTTGGTACTGAAATGTTACCCCGAGCTACACTCGGGAATACCGCCAAGGAGGTTAAAAGGGTAGTAAACTCTTTTTAGGGGCCCCCAGGTGGGATATGCTATAATGTACAGCAGCACAGCATATTATTACATTATGGCACACTTACCTGTCAAACTTTTTAGGTAAACATTTCTTTACCTTTATATCTGTTATGGTTTGTACTTCCATCCTTCATATCAGACCTTCTACTGCTGGATGAAAACATTTCTGGTGCTGCAGCCAAAACTAAAAAGCCTTTTATTGTAAGTCGTAATGAATCCGTTTGGGCTGCTGCTTTAAAATGTAAATTGTAACAAATCAATTACACATGCAAAGTATGTGATGCCAGAAAACAATGTTGCTGATAATGCAAGATAAGTATTATTTTGTGACATCACATACACCTCAAATCTTAGTATGTTGAAGATTTTTTTCCTTTCCCTGGTATTTGCTCTTAGGCTTCATTTACACTGGCACTCCTGCATTTTGCTTTTCTAAATGCAGGATAAGTTATTTGGGAAGTATAAACAAGAGCTTCTAGACCACTTTTTTCCTGTGTTTAAATGTTCCTGCTGTAAAGCAGGTTTAGTTGCATTTAGGGGCATCTAGTTGCATTTACATTATTATCATTATACAGGATTTATATAGTGCCAACAGTTTGCGTAGTGCTTTACAATGTGAAGACAAACAGTACAGTTACAATACAATTGAATACAGGAGGAATCAGAGGGCTCTGCTCGTTAGAGCTTACAATCTACAAGGGGAGGGTCAAGTGATTTAAAAAGTTAATAACTGTGGACAGAGTAGGAAATATTTGGACAGACTGGAGTAGGGAATTCCATAGGATGGGAGAGGCTTGGGAGAAATCCTGCAGATGAGCATGGGAGGAGGTGACAATGGAACTAGAAAGCAGGAGGTCTTGGGAGGAATGGAGAGTGTGATTTTGATTTGGTTGGTATTTTGAGACTAGGTTAGTGATGTAGCTGGGGTCCGAGTTGTGGATGGCTTTGTAAGTTGTTGTTAGTATTTTGAATTTAATTCATTGGGTGAGTGGCAGCCAATGGAGGGAAGACACAGAGAGGGGCAGCAGACACTGAACTATTGGTAAGGTGGATGAGTCTGGCAGCAGCATTCATGATGGACTGGAGGGGGGGGATAGCCTATTTAAAGGTAAGCCAATGAGAAAGGAGTTGCAGTAGTCGAGGTGAGAGATAACCAGGGAGAGGATTAGGAGCTTTGTGGTGTCATTGGTTAGGAATGGGTGTATTTTGGAGATGTTGTGGAGGTTGAGACAGTAAGTTCAGAGTCCAGGATTACACCTAGCACCCTGGCATGCGGGGACAGGTTGATGGTTGTGCAATTGATCTTGACAGAGAAGTCAGGGAAGGGGCACATGGGGGAGGAAATATTATGAGCTCGGTATTGGGTAGATTGAGTTTGAGGAAGTGTTGTGATATCCAGGCTGATATGTCGGTCAGTAGGTTAGTGATACATTTATTAGTGACTGTTGTTGTGAGCTGAGGGGTAAAGAGATGGTGGAGTCCAATGAAGGATTTTTAAGTATGGGAGTGGCTAATCATGTTTTAGAGTGTTGGGAAAGGTGCCAGGGGAGAGATTGAAGATGTGAGTTAGAGAGTGTAGGATAGAGCCAGAGGGTGTGTTAGGAATGGACTGGCCAGCAATGGTGGGACTCACCTGCCTTTTGATCTGCAGTACCAGGGCTGGCCAGCGGGTGCTCCCAGCAATCAGAGACTCAACCTTTCAGCCAGCTAACACCTGGAACTGATGATGCTGGGGTATTTAAGGGATGGCCAGACCCACAGACTCTGCCTTGGTGTTGTGTTTGTCCTGGGCCCTGTATCTGTCCTGCATCCTGTTTCTGTCCCTCTGCCTGACCCTCTGTACTACGCTGCTTGTTACCTGTTTTGATCTCTGGCTTGTGACCCTGACCATCCCTCTGCCTGACCCTCTGTACTACGCTGCTTGCTACCTGCTGAACCTGGCCTGTGACCCCGACCATTCTCTGCTTGCTCCCTCTGTACCTACCTGCCCAATTGATATTGACCCGGCCTGCCTGACGACGCTTGCTTGTATGTACTGTTATCTGTGGGTGGTTTGGTTTGGTTTGTTTGCACTGTATTATGTTTAGTATTGCACTGCGTTTATGTTTGTATGGTTAGTGTTAATAAATTGTATTGTTTATCACATATCTGAAGTCTGCGTTTCCCTGCATCAGTCACACACCTCTGGTCACACCTGGGAGCCCTGACATTACACCAAGGCCAATCCTGACCAGAAGTGGCTGCACAGGGAAGCCATCTTGGTTTGTTGATGGGAAGGATGGATCTGGATGAGGTTGAATATTTATATCTGCTAGTGTTTGATGACAGGGAGTATGCTTATCAAACTCTGAAGGAGTATCCCCGGGATGAACTGCTAGAATGTATACGGCTCGCTCATGTTCTAGTAGATCAGGGCACAGAGTTCTCTGAGGTGCAGCCCTTTGATTGAGGTTTGTGCTGAGTTGGTTTCATCTGGTTCCCCCGAATGCAGGGATGAATTTTTGCCACCATTTAGTGCAGACCAGGTAGAGTCCCTGGTGTGGTTATTAGAGGATGATGTGGGTTACTTTCTGGAGCGTTATTCCACATGTTCACCACAGACACTAAGAGATTGTATAAACGCAGTACAGTCATTGACCAGACAGGCTTTGTGTAAGCTCAGCTTTGTTCAACCCATACTGCAGACATGGACAGATTTGTTGCACCCAGCCTCAGTCAGCTTACAAAGACCCAGTCCTGCTTCTAATCTATTTCCTCAAAACTCTATTCCTGCATTCCCAACAGCTCCTCCTGCCCTGCTATCTACCGCATGTCAGTACCCTGTTCCCACTCGCTGCACCTATCCTGCCTTTAACCCTGTAAAAGAGCCCTCTGTAGCAACTGCTCCCTCTCCTGTTCCATCCTCCAGTTCTTCTGTCTCCAGCTGCTCCATTCGTTTGCAGACCTGCGTTTACTTGCAGTGCTCCAGTAGTTAAAACCAGAAAAAAGCGAAAATTCTTTCCAACCAATACCATCCTGCCAGTATCCAAACCGGTGAGCCTGCCTTCCGTGGTTCAGCCTGAAGCCTCTACTCAGCCTGAAGCCTCTACTCGGCCTGATGCCTCTACTCGGCCTGATGCCTCTACTCGGCCTGAAGCCTCTACTCGGCCTGAAGCCTCTACTCGGCCTGAAGCCTCTACTCGGCCTGAAGCCTCTACTCGGCCTGATGCCTCTACTCGGCCTGAAGCCTCTACTCGGCCTGAAGCCTCTACTCGGCCTGATGCCTCTACTCGGCCTGATGCCTCTACTCGGCCTGATGCCTCTACCCAGCATGATGAACTGATCCAGCCTGACGATCCTATTAGGCCAGTTGACTCGATGCCCGCTGTTGATCCAGATGATCCGGTACCTGATCCGGTGCCCGCTGTCGAGCCAAATGACCTGATGCCTGGTGACCCAGTGCCCGCTGTCATACCTGGTGACCCGATGCCCGCTGTCGAGCCAGACAATCCGGTACCTGATGACCCGGTGCTCACTGTCGTGCCTGTTGACTCGGAGCCCACTGCCTTGCCAGATGACGCGGTGCCCGCTGTCAAGCCAAATGACCTGATGCCTGGTGACCCAGTGCCCGCTGTCCAGCCAGACGATCCAATGTCTGACCCAGTGCCCGCGGTCATACCAGTTGACTCGGAGCCCACTGCCTTGCCAGATGACGCGGTGCCCGCTGTCGAGCCAAATGACCTGATGCCTGGTGACCCGATGCCCGCTGTCCAGCCAGACGATCCAATGTCTGACCCAGTGCCAGCGGTCATCCCAGTTGACTCGGAGCCCACGGTTGTGCCTGGTGACTCGGTGCCCGCCGCCCCGCCTGGGGGCCTGAGACCTGTCGTTCCGCCTGGGGGTCCGGCGCCCGCCGCTCCGCCTGAGGGCCCGAGACCTGTCGCTCCATCTGGGGGTCCGGCGCCCGCCGCTCCGCCTGAGGGCCCGAGACCTGTCGCTCCTCCTGGGGGTCCGGCGCCCGCCGCTCCGCCTGAGGGCCCGAGACCTGTCGCTCCGCCTGGGGGTCCGGCGCCCGCCGCTCCGCCTGAGGGCCCGGTGCCTGTTGCCCCGCCTGGGGGCCCGGTGCCTGCTGCTCCGCCCGGGGGCCCGGTGCCTGTTGCCCCGCCCGGGGGCCCGGTGCCTGCCGCCCCGCCCGGGGGCCCGGTGCCTGCTGCCCCACCCGGGGGCCCGATGCCTGTCGCCCCCGCCCGGGGGCCCGGTGCCTGCCGCTCCGCTTGGGGGCCCGGTGCCTGCCGCTCCGCCCGGGGGCCCGGTGCCTGCCGCTCCGCCCGGGGGGCCCGATGCATGTCGCCCCGCCCGGGGGCCCGGTGCCTGCTGCTCCGCCCGGGGGCCCGGTGCCTGCTGCTCCGCCTGGTGGCCCGCTGCCTGCTGCTTCGCCTGGTAAACCGATGTGCCTCTGCCCGGAGTCCTGCCCGATGTGCCTCTGCCCGGAGTCCTGCCCGATGTGCCTCTGCCCGGAGTCCTGCCCGATGTGCCTCTGCCCGATGTGCCTCTGCCCGATGTGCCTCTGCCCGGTGTGCCTCTGCTCGATGTGCCTCTGCCCGGTGTGCCTCTGCCCAGTGTGCCTCTGCTCGATGTGCCTCTGCCCGGAGTCCTGCCCGATGTGCCTCTGCCCGATGTGCCTCTGCCCGGAGTCCTGCCCGATGTGCCTCTGCCGGGTGTGCCTCTGCCCGGTGTGCCTCTGCTCGATGTGCCTCTGCCCGGACTCCAGCCCGGTGTGCCTCTGCCCGGAGTCCAGCCCGGTGTGCCGCTGCCCGGAGTCCTGCCCGGTGTGCCAGTCTTTGATCTCCCGCCAGTTACCAGACCCGGGCGGTGGAACATTTTGCCCAGCTAGGACTGTTTGGAGCGTCCTGAGGCCGCTCCTTGGGGGGGGGGGTACTGTTAGGAATGGACTGGCCAGCAATGGTGGGACTCACCTGCCTTTTGATCTGCAGTACCAGGGCTGGCCAGCGGGTGCTCCCAGCAATCAGAGACTCAACCTTTCAGCCAGCTAACACCTGGAACTGATGATGCTGGGGTATTTAAGGGATGGCCAGACCCACAGACTCTGCCTTGGTGTTGTGTTTGTCCTGGGCCCTGTATCTGTCCTGCATCCTGTTTCTGTCCCTCTGCCTGACCCTCTGTACTACGCTGCTTGTTACCTGTTTTGATCTCTGGCTTGTGACCCTGACCATCCCTCTGCCTGACCCTCTGTACTACGCTGCTTGCTACCTGCTGAACCTGGCCTGTGACCCCGACCATTCTCTGCTTGCTCCCTCTGTACCTACCTGCCCAATTGATATTGACCCGGCCTGCCTGACGACGCTTGCTTGTATGTACTGTTATCTGTGGGTGGTTTGGTTTGGTTTGTTTGCACTGTATTATGTTTAGTATTGCACTGCGTTTATGTTTGTATGGTTAGTGTTAATAAATTGTATTGTTTATCACATATCTGAAGTCTGCGTTTCCCTGCATCAGTCACACACCTCTGGTCACACCTGGGAGCCCTGACAGGGTGACTGCAGTGTTTGAGAGGGAATATGGTCCAGGGGACCGGTGGTTAGATGGGCGTTTAGCCTTTAACAACCTCATCTGTAGGGCGGAGGACAGGGATCTATTGTAGACAGAAGTGACTAGATTGGGACAAGACAGGGGTGAAATATTGTCAGAGGTGGGCAGTAGCACAGTGGAGAAGAGAGAGTTAAAGTGGCGAAGGTCTCTATGGATAATTGTTAGACGGTTGGAGGGAGATGTGGTGGAAGACAGGGAAAGAGTGAAACTAATAAGGTGGTGATCAGAGAAAGGAAGAGGATTTTTTAAGAGGTTGGACAGAGTGCATAGGTAGGAGAATGCAATGTGAAGGGTGCTGCCTTCATAGTGAGTAGGAGCATGTACCCAATGCTTAAGGTCAAATGAGGAGGTTAGACTAAAATGTTTAGAAGTAGCAGGAGTGTTAGTATTAACAGGGATGTTGAAGTCACCGAGAATGATTATGGGAATTTCTCTGCCAGGCAGAGAAGTCATCAAGGAAAGTTGATAATAAAGGAAACAGAGTTTGAGGAGAGAGGATACAATTGTGAAAAAGAAAGATCGAGAGTGCATGTTACAGAGAGGAAGGAGAGATGAATGGGGAAAACGAGGTCACCTGCAGTCTGGTGTTTTGCAAAGTAGCTTGCCATAGATTTTCGCTTTGTGCAATCTCTGAAGTGCAAGAGTGGAAGCACCACTTAATTAACGAACCCCACTTAATTGGAAGAACCCCAACATGCACAACCTGGCATGTTCCCTCAGGCATGTGCCTCCCCCATAAAGGTGATCTAGATTTATACTGTTGTGGGTGGCTGTGGAGATTGCCAATGAATCAATCAGAAGTTAATTTAAGGCACATAGCTAGCAGAGCAACCTTTTCAAACCACAATCAAACTGCGAGAGGACCAAGAGGGTAGGGTTGTAAAGATTAAGATTAAGATCAGTCATAATTTCGGTAAGAAAACGTAAAGACAAAATAAACAACATAATAATGTGAACAGGGCTACAGATGGATATGAAGCAGGAGTGACATAAATGCAGGTTTACCATACAGACACTGAGAGATGTCAGTCTGTATTCAGTTTAAGGTGGATTTACATGCATTTAGCCACATTTACCATTTCTAATCAGATCCTGAAAGTACAGAATGTGATTTTCTCTAAATGCAGATAAACTGACCGAATCTAAATGCAAGTAAAGGTACAGTGAGAATGGAACTAATGAAAAAATACCCTCTAAATGCATATAACAGCAGTTTTGGCAGTGCCACCCAGTGTGAATGAGGCCTTATACACAGCAGGACATATCACAGATATGCACCAACATATCCAACAAGTTGGACAGTCAAATACCAGCACTGACTTCATTTATACAGTTATATATGCTAGCCAATATACTGTACACTTATTCTACAGTCAGTGTGAATGAGGCCTTATACACAGCAGACATATCACAGATATTGCACCAACATATCCAACAAGTTGGACAGTCAAATACCAGCACTGACTTCATTTATACAGTTATATATGCTAGCCAATATACTGTACACTTATTCTAAGGTGGTCTCTCACTGCCTGTCTGGTTCTATTTCCTTTGTGCACTCTTCTTCCTCCTTTCTCATGCAGGCAATGTTTCTAACAGACTCTCCATGGGGCAAACCCACATCCAAAAGACAATATAGTTAGTTTTTAAAAAAACATTTTTGAAATCATTGAAAAACTTGTTTCAGTCATCACCACAGCATCTAATACATTTGATCTGCAAAGACTTCTTCAGGAACATATATACTGAAATTGTATGGTTGCACCAAACTTTTTTGTAACAGTTTTTTTTTTAACTGTAAACGTTTTTTTAATTGCAAATTTAATATTGAAACTAGGCTAATCACTGGGGTGAGGATTAAAATTAATGGCTAAGTTTAGGGATTGGTTTGTGGCTGAAGGTTAAGGTTTGACTTAGGTTCCAGTGCTAGGTTTAGATCTAGGCATTGTTTTTGGGCTAGGTGTATGGATACCTTGAATGTGTAGTTTAGGGCTATTGGTTAGGTAATAATTAGGATTAAGTGTTTGGGGTAAGAACTGTGAGAGTTTTTGTTATGTTAGTGTTAGGTTTCTGGGAATGATTGTTAATATCAGATACATTACTAGTAACAAAGGCTTAATCATGTTCAGTTTTTTTGGTGATGACACTTAGGTGCCCAGTTATAAAGGAGCCTTTTGGCTTTACTGCTGCTTTAAAAAAAACACACGGCTTTAAAAAAAACACAGTAATGCATGACTTTTAAATGTGCTGAATCCCAAAGCAAGAAAAATACTATTCATTTCACGTAACAGAAAGCTTGGTCACATTGTCATTCTTTGAACTCCTTGAGGGATACTATAGGCTCCA